CAGCATGTGGCTTCGCTTCTGGCCTCCAGTCACAGTTTTTAAACGAGTGAACTTCAGTAGCTCGAGTGACTTTCCTCCTCTAATTGTGATCGGCCGCTGCTCTGCAGCTTTAACATCACGCTCTGGATCTGATGTCCGTCCATCTCGTTGTGTCTGCGGTCACAGAGAGCCTCTGTTCACCTGTAGGGACTCGCAGCCCTTTGTCTCACAGTTGTGAAAGCAAACCCGTGCTTGTGGAACGTTAGTCGGGAGGTCACGAGAAGCTCTCTGCTGAAGGAGAAGCTTTGTTTTTATTGTTTTACCGGTACAAGCGCACTCATCCTCTTCATAAGTGTTCCTCAGTCCAAACATTTTAATGAAGCCCGTGTTTTCATACATCCCTGCCAGAGAATTTGCCAAAGAGCGAGAGCGAGTGGAGAAAAGGCAGGAGTTCCTGAAGCTCCGCCGGCAGCAGCAGATTGAGAGAGAGCTCACCGGATACTTGGAGTGGATCTGCAAAGCAGGTGAAAGTCCAGTCGGACTTATTAAAGCTGATGCCGTCTGTGTCACAGCTAATGTGAAGTGTCTTCTTGCTGGCTCGTGCTGCAGAGGAGGTGCTGCTGGAGGAGGAGGACGAGATTGCTGAGGAGAAATCGCCGCTGGACGGAGCGTGGTACAAGAGGAAACAAAACCTGTCAGGTGAAGCTGCGTCCGTCCACCGCAGGAAGCCGGCGCTCCTTTAAAATGCTGCTCTGAAATCATCTGGTGTTCTTTTGTACGTCAGAACGTGCTGACGTGACGTTTTTCACACCACGATTCCCCCTCTCAGATAAAAGCAACGCCAGACCCGACTCTTCCTGGGATCGGTTCTGCAGAACACCTTTCCTTTAAAACGGCCGTTTCCATCTGTGTGGAGGCGTATTCAAACGTATCCATGCTGACAACACACACGCACACACACACGCACGCACGCACACACACACGCACAGACACACACACACACAATAAACTTTGCTTTTAGCTGTTAGTTATCTTTGACATGTCCCGAGATTTGTTCTTAACCCTTTGGTGCATAATGGTCACTACAGTGGACAGGTACTCAGAATAGTTATTTATTTGTTTTTGCTATTAAGCACAGCTGTTGAAGACTTTAATGCATGTGAGCCTCTCCATTTGGACTTCAGTAAGGCAAGCCAACATATTTCATGCCAGAATGCACGCTGTCCACTGAGGTGGACATGTAATAAATTATTTGTAAATTATAAAATTTTACAAAAAATATTTGTTGAAATTTGTTTCATTCAAACCTAAAGATGAATGAAAAAAATTGTTACAAAAATCATAGTTGAAGATTTCATAATTCATGCATCAGAGGGTTAATTCCTGTTTTACTTGATTTTCATTTTTTTCACTGTGCAGTTCTGAAGAGAGGGAAGATCAAGAAGGGTAAAAATGACCTGATCGGTGCAGAAGAGGGTGAAGATCGCTTTGCCGACCTGTCGTCTGTCGGTAAATCTCTCGTTTTACTCATCTGAGTCCAGCAGCAGGTGACCCTTCAGAGTGAAAGCACCGGTGACGACCTGCTTTCTGCAGCTTTCTCGCCGTCGCTGACATTTATTAGTTCATTATTAGAAACAGGAAACAAACCGACTCCGAGTGCTGAAGCCTCACACCTTCAAATTAGACAATAAAAATAACAAACAAGATACTTATAACATGAATGGACTTTGAATCTCAAACAGACCCTCAGTGAATTTTTATGTGGATTAGAAAAACAACATGAATCAAAACTAATTAGCTTTCCTCGTCTTAAAAACCCAGTTTGTTGGATGTTTTCTGTAAAATTCATACCTGAGGGAATCAAAGTGACTTCAGCTCTCGTCTCGCTTCATTCACACTTAATATTCGTAATGAGTTGGTATTATTGTAACTTATTTTTAGTCTTTATAAACAGCTGCAAGTAAACTACAAGTGTTCAGGGGATGTTACGCTTGTTTTTACGCCCCATGTTGGTTTCTATCAATTAGTTTTGCTGTAAACATGTGACTCTCTAAAAAAAACTCAGAATGAGGCCAAACTGTTCCTTGGGGAGATGTAAAAATAAATACTTTGGGTTTTATACAAAATGAAGAGACAGGACGGCAGAAGGTAAATTGTGAGTTGGTCTACTTGACTTGTCGTGGTTTTCAGCCCCCCCCGGCTCTCCGTTCGGCCGGGCCAGTGTGAAAAGCGGCGGGAAGATGGACAGCTCCTCCTACTTTCGCCGTAAAGAGAAGCGGTTCCGGTTCTTCATCCGCCGAATGGTGAAAGCCCAAAGTTTCTACTGGATCGTTCTATGCGTGGTGGGCCTCAACACCCTGTGTGTGGCCATGGTTCATTACGACCAGCCGGAGTGGCTTACAACAGCTCTCTGTGAGTGACGTCCACGCGTTAAAACCACGTAGAAGCGCTGATGATTCCTCACCAGCCTGATCTGTTTGTCTCGTGAACCAGACACCGCAGAGTTTGTGTTTCTGGGCTTGTTTCTGACGGAGATGACGTTGAAGATGTACGGCCTCGGAGGGAGGAATTACTTCCACTCGTCCTTCAACTGCTTCGACTTCGGGGTGAGTTCCTGCAGGCTGTGGTTTCTAACCCTGGGGAGTTCTGTTATTCATGTTGTTTTAGACGGATTTCTCTTCATGTTTAACACACGGTACTAAAAACTCAGGTTACATCCCGCATTGATCCATTTAACTTATATTGATTGGCTTTTAAAGAAGACGGTCTCGTCTTAGGGACTGTTGGGCGTCACACTGGGCAGAAATTCTCAATCCCAGCTGGAATTGTTTAGATTTCACAGGAAATTTGTAGAAATGACCTCAGATAGGAATGACTGCTAACAGGAGAGTAAATAAAACAGTACTTTATTGCGTACTGATGATCTGACACTTCTCACACAGACTAACATCTTCTCCATGACCACCAGACGTGTCTTTCCACCTGGTTGTTTAAGAGCTCACTGCACCAGCTGGGTTAAATGACTTGTTGCAGCTGAAAGACATCCGCCCTGCAGTAATTATCCAATAGGAGGCTCCTGCCTGTTTGCTCAGTTAAATCCAGATTGAGACTTTTTTTTGTGGAAAAAAAAAAAGAAAAAAATTTAGGAAGTGGTTCTCTCCCATTTGTCTAAAATTCTCCACCAGTAACACGTTTCGGACCGCCCTGGGTTCTCCACTCACGTATTTAGCACCAGAACACCACTGCTGAGAGGTTTTCTGCTCAATAACATCAGAGAAGGAGAAACAGCCGGCTGCTACCACTTCTACTTTAGAACAAACTACCAGAGTCCCAAAAAGAAGACAACAGAAGACTCTTGTTTAAAAGTTAAAGCCCCACAGGCATCATCACACACTGGTGAACTTCATGTCCGTAGCTGACCCATCCCCATGGAGGGGAGCGGTGAGCTGCAGCTGCAGCTGCAGCTGGGCTCGGGAACTATTTGGTGGTTTAACTGGTGGATTCTGATTCCAATTCCTGGTTTCGATTCCGGTTCCTATCGATTCCCGATTCCGATTCTTTGAAGACATGACATGCTTTACATGAGCCAGCCAACCACAGGTCCTACTTGATGAAATAATCTTAACTTCAACATGAATTTTAACTCTATGAACAGCAACATCACCTTCATTTAGACACAAACATGTTTTGGAGACAAAAAGAAAAAACTTGCAGCACAACCAGTGTGTTTGTTTCTGACCACAACCAAAGTCTGGAAGAAGCCTCTGGGATGAGAGGCTAAATGTCTCCAACATGTCCAGGAACGTCCAGCTGTTTTCAGCTAAAACTCTCAGGATGATCATGTCCAGGATGACTGAGATCTACACCTCCATGCTGCAGCAGCATTCAGTCACAACAGGAAGTGAAGCTTAAACGTAGCTGCTGTCAGTAACAAGCTAACAGGTTTAAACATTAAAACTCAACAGAAACAGTTCTGAAAGGAAATTAAAATGTCATTTATTATTATTATTATTATTATTATTATTATTATTATTATTATTTATTGTGGCAGAAGCTGGTGTGGTCCACCACAGAGAAGCTGCTCTAGCATGATGACTTTCATTATTTTACAGGTTATTGTTCAGCCTTCTGATGCTCACACACACACACACACACACACACACACACACACACACACACACACACACACACACACGAGTGTTGGTGAGTGGCTGCGTCTGACTGCTGACGCTCCATGTGTGTTGTTATTTCTGCAGTGAGAAACTCACCTCACACCGTCCAGAGTTTGTTCTTTAAAGCTTCTATTAACTCCACCGTGTTGACGTGTTTAACACGTTTCCTCTACGCTGCAGGAGTTAACGTTTACATCACGGAGTAAAAGTTCGGCAGACACGTTTGTTTATATCCGGGTGGGGGGAGGGGGGACTCGTGCTGCACACACACAGCTGGTGTGATCAGCTCTGAAAAGCGTTGATCACAATTTGCAGATCACGTTTATTTTTCACGGAGATCGGCCGCGGATTCCTCTTCCGGTCGGCGTGCTAGGAATCTAAACTAGGAATCGAAATAAAAACTTTGAACAATTCCGGGAAAAACTAACTGTTGGTCCCGGTTCCAATCGACGCTTGACGCCCAACCCTATGCGTGAGCCTTGAAAACCTAGCTTGTTCTGTTGTTCGCTACAACAACTCCACCCTGTTTGTGTCCAGATTTCATGTGTAACAGATCATCCTAATGAAACTCTTTCATTTTCGTATGCAACTGATCTGTTTTGGTCTCAAAACAATTCAAGATGGCTGACATAGCTAACCAACATTAGCAAACACAAAAGCAGTTTGGACCGTCAGTTTTAGAAGTACTGAGCTAAGCCTTCTCGTTACTAGCGGAGTCGTTTACAACAACATAACGTTTTACGATGCCAGTATGTTTCAGGTCTGACAACAACAACAACAACAATCTCACAGGTTTAGATGGTTTCAGTTTAAAACTCTGGTGTCAGCAGATGTGGAACAACAGGTGAGGAAAATAAAACCCACCCTCCTCTCTTTCTTTTTCCAGGTGATTGTTGGAAGTATATGTGAGGTCATCTGGGACATAATCAAGCCGGGATCCTCGTTTGGGATCAGTGTGCTGAGGGCCTTGAGACTACTCAGGATTTTCAAAGTTACCAAGTGAGTTCATTTCAGGAAACAACCACGCTTTTGATTGGTTTGTAGTATTTTTGCACTTTGTAACTTCAAAAAAACAAAATGTCTTCTCTTTGTTGTAATTCATCACAAAACAAGTCGTCTAATGGAAACGGATCATATCAGCGAGTAAGGAAGGATGCATGGTGGAGGTGTCTGGGCCGCTGCAGCCTTTGCACCTGTTACCTGGGTAGGTGGGGGGATTTCTCTCTCCTCTCAACACCAACAGGAAAGAAACGTTCAGCCATGGCAAAGCCTTAAAGTCATGCTCACGTTCACCTGCCTGTCTCCTGTGAGCTTTATCCAACTCTACACACACCGACGTCATCTCTCCTTGCCTTTTGTTGTTCTTAAAGACCAAGTTCACTGAGAAACCATTCTTAACTTGTTAACCCTTAAGGACACGTGGTGACACTGGTGTCGCATCCCATTTCAAACTTCTGCAAAATTGCTTCTTGAATCAAATATTCAAGTTTGACAACTCCGAGGGACATCCCATACGTGCACATATCACAAATATTTCACTTCTTAAGGGTTAAATATGATCGATCACCTTGAGTGTGACATGCAGGCATAACGTGGTAATGGTCCTCTTCCCGTTTCCTGCCTTGGGCTCTGATGGAAAATAATCTCGGAAAGATCTACGTCACGCTGAAAATTTGCATTCATGGATGCAAACGTCTGGACTCACGGCGAGGAAGGCTGTTGTTGTTTTAGCGTCCAGGAAACAGCAGAGCATGCATTCGCTAGTAGAAGCTAACCATTAGTATCGCGTCATACCCCTGTCAAAACCCGTGCACGCGCATTGGGTCCACAGCGCGCGTGTGAACGGGACTCGCGAGCGAAAATATACATGGCAGCGCGCGTGTGAACGGGACTCGCGAGCGGAAATATACATGGCGAGAGGTCATTTGTGCACTGAGAGGGAGCAAACTGTGTCTGTGAGCGCACAAGGATGTGCACAAGTGACAAACCTGCGTGCGCGCGTTGTCAACGAGCACACGGCAGAGGAAAACGTGCGCGCGCGGCAGCCTCTGTGCGCGCTCGGCAGCCTCTCTGCGCGCTCGGTTTCTGACTCCTGCTCGCTCGGCTGTAAGGGTTTTGGCACTCTGGAGGCGTGGCCTGTGGCAGATCTTCTCTGTCCTCTGATTGGTTAGTGTACCCCGCACTTTACCCTCTACCTATCTATATAAAAAAGTCTGCTAGTCAAGTAGTCGCTGGCATAGCTCAGTTGGAAGAGCGGGTGACTCTCGCCCCGGAGGATCCAGGTTCGAGGCCGGGCAAGGAAAATGCAGTAGATGTCATGTTAATTTTTCTTAATTTCAGGTATTTTACAGTTGTGACCGTTCAACTGTCATTAAACGTCCGAATGTTTGCTGGGCAGTGTTTTAAAAAGTGCACATAAGCTAGATGGTTTTAACCATATAAAATTACATTTTTTGTGATACTGGAAAAATACATACTGAAATAAAACTACTGATTGAAAACTTTATGACTGTGGTTGTACAATATATGACTCACTAATACACTGCAAACTCCCTTAGAGTGGGGCTTCCAGAGAGAGAGAGAGAGAGAGAGAGAGAGAGAGAGAGACAGAGAGAGAAAAGTTCTTGCCTCATTAATGAATTGTTTATTTTTTTCAGTATTTAATTGACAAATTATCCTTTCAAATAATTAATTGATGAGTTACATAATTGTCCATTTAGAATTGTTGAATGGACTGAGTCAAGTTTGGTGCACTTTATATATGTCAAAACATGTTTTTTTTTTAAATTTTAATGATGCATATAAATAATTTAAATGTTAATTTAATGAAATATTTCTATTTTTTCATTACCTCACCCTTGTTTTGACAAAAACGGGACCTTGCTGGATAATATCATGGAGAAACTATTTGTTCACAGTACATGGCTCCGTAAGGATCTGTGTACCAAAGGAGGAGATACTCAGAAATCTGTCTGCAGATTGTTACAACTCAGACTGGAAGTGGCGGGCTGTAATAAGAAAGGAGACCAAACAGAGGAGTGGGGGTTCAACAACTGATTTATTTAATAAAAGTAAAGATTTACTAAAGCAAGTTAGTGAACAGAAAATGGCCAGTGAGGACTCTCCACCACACAGGAGAGACCCAGTGAAAGCAGAAAAACAGTAGGCTTTGTAGGCAGCACCACACCCTGAGCCCAGGTGCCTCCAAGGCTGCTTAACCAGCTGCCTACAACAGAAGAAAAACACAATTAAACACAAATGAAAACCCAATGAGATGGTGGGGGCATCACAACACGTTCAGGACTACCCAAACACCAGTAATTCTTGACTGCACTGATCTGAGGTGTCAATGGCCATATTCCCCTCTCTTCCAGAGTCATATATTTTCCTCAAGTTCAACTGCACTCTGAAGAGGCTCATTTGGATTGTGCCACATAGGCCAGTGACCTTTGTCTCAGCACTGTATGCTGGAACTATCAGCGACCAACCTGGGAATCTGGTGTGTTGAAAATGCTACAACTAGAGATGGTCATCTTGGTAGACAGGGGTTTCTTCATTGATGACATTGTGCCCTGCAAAGTGTACAGGCCAGCTTTCCTTTCTGGCAAACCTCAAATGTCTGCATGTAAAGTTATAGAAACAGAAGCCATAACATCTCTGAGTGCATGTGGAGCGCTCCATTCATCTGGTCCAAGAACACAAGCATTTTGATTGTTATTCCCCTCCTTGCATTTGTAAACAATCAGCTATATGCTGTGGTTTTTCTCCTTACCAACTTTTAAAATAGCCCACTAGTGAAGGCCTGGGCAAAGAAGCCTGATGTCTGAGAACCTCAACATATGTACGGCAACCACACTGTATATTTACACACTTTCATAAAGAAACTGCATATCAAGCTTTCATTCAGATGACCTTCAACAGTGCTGCACCCTGCTGAGGGACATCCGAGTAAAACCTTGAGATGGCCATTTTCTGTTCACTAACTTGCTTTAGTAAATCCTTACTTTTGTTAAATAAATCAGTTGTTGAACCCCCACTCCTCTGTTTGGTCTCCTTTCTTATTACAGCCCGCCACTTCCAGTCTGAGTTGTAACAATCTGCAGACAGATTTCTGAGTATCTCCTCCTTTGGTACACAGATCCTTACGGAGCCATGTACTGTGAACAAATAGTTTCTCCATGATATTATCCAGCAAGGTCCCGTTTTTGTCAAAACAAGGGTGAGGTAATGAAAAAATAGAAATATTTCATTAAATTAACATTTAAATTATTTATATGCATCATTAAAATAAAAAAAAAACATGTTTTGAAATATATAAAGTGCACCAAACTTGACTCAGTCCATTCAACAATTCTAAATGGACAATTATGTAACTCATCAATTAATTATTTGAAAGGATAATTTGTCAATTAAATACTGAAAAAAATAAACAATTCATTAATGAGGCAAGAACTTTTCTCTCTCTGTCTCTCTCTCTCTCTCTCTCTCTCTCTCTCTCTCTCTCTCTGGAAGCCCCACTCTAAGGGAGTTTGCAGTGTATTAGTGAGTCATATATTGTACAACCACAGTCATAAAGTTTTCAATCAGTAGTTTTATTTCAGTATGTATTTTTCCAGTATCACAAAAAATGTAATTTTATATGGTTAAAACCATCTAGCTTATGTGCACTTTTTAAAACACTGCCCAGCAAACATTCGGACGTTTAATGACAGTTGAACGGTCACAACTGTAAAATACCTGAAATTAAGAAAAATTAACATGACATCTACTGCATTTTCCTTGCCCGGCCTCGAACCTGGATCCTCCGGGGCGAGAGTCACCCGCTCTTCCAACTGAGCTATGCCAGCGACTACTTGACTAGCAGACTTTTTTATATAGATAGGTAGAGGGTAAAGTGCGGGGTACACTAACCAATCAGAGGACAGAGAAGATCTGCCACAGGCCACGCCTCCAGAGTGCCAAAACCCTTACAGCCGAGCGAGCAGGAGTCAGAAACCGAGCGCGCAGAGAGGCTGCCGAGCGCGCACAGAGGCTGCCGCGCGCGCACGTTTTCCTCTGCCGTGTGCTCGTTGACAACGCGCGCACGCAGGTTTGTCACTTGTGCACATCCTTGTGCGCTCACAGACACAGTTTGCTCCCTCTCAGTGCACAAATGACCTCTCGCCATGTATATTTCCGCTCGCGAGTCCCGTTCACACGCGCGCTGTGGACCCAATGCGCGTGCACGGGTTGTGGCACGCTTTAAACGCCATACATTAGCAGCTCCGCCACACAGCAGAACTCTTCCAGGCTCGTGGTACTTGTGGAGATGAAACATCAACGTTGCAGAGCAAACAGGTGGTAGGGTCGTGTTGCTGTTAGCCAATCAGAGGAGAGATGTCCAGATATCAGGAAAAAAAACTCCAAACCCCGTCGTCTTCTGCCGCTGGATTCATCAAATAACGTCTACTTCCTGAAGCAGGAGCACCAGAGGTTTGTTTCCACAGAGCTCGACTCACCAGACATGAATTATTACTAATGACCTCTTCAGATGTGTAGAAAAAACATGTGACCTTTGTTTTTCAAGAAACGCAGTAACTCTCTCGCTCTCTCTCTCTCTCTCTCTCTCTGTCTCTGTCTCTCTCTCTCTCTCTCTCTGTCTCTCTCTCTCTCTCTCTCGCTCTCTCTCTCTCTCTCTCTCTGTCTCTGTCTCTCTCTCTCTCTCTCTCTGTCTCTCTCTCTCCCTCTCCCTCTCCCTCCCTCTCTCTCTCTCTCTCTCTCTCTCTCTGTCTGTCTCTGTCTCTCTCTGTCTGTCTGTCTCTCTCTCTCTGTCTGTCTCTCTCTGTCTGTCTGTCTCTCTCTCTCTGTGTGTCTCTCTCTCTCTCTCTCTGTCTCTGTCTCTCTCTCTCTCTCTCTCTGTCTCTCTCTCTCTCTCTCTCTGTCTCTCTCTCTCTCTCTCTCTCTCTCTCTCAGATATTGGAACTCGCTGAGGAATCTTGTCGTCTCCCTCCTCAACTCCATGAAGTCCATTATCAGCCTGCTTTTCCTGCTCTTCCTCTTCATCGTGGTCTTTGCTCTGCTTGGCATGCAGCTCTTCGGGGGACAGTGAGTGCATTTTAGAGTTTGTTCTGCTTCCTCCATCCGTCCTCGGGTGTGTGATCTCCGGACTGCTGTGGCGGTGCTACCAGACATGTTGACCCAGCAGGGAGCCAGCTGAGCAGCCGCTCTCTGAATATCATTCTCAGCAGGAGCTCCAAGTCTTCTAACGACAGGAACACCTCCTGATCCTGAGCAGATAATCACAGGCCTGCTGTCTGGTGTTGAGAGTTCACCTCACATGTCCTGGGACTTTACATTTTGATGTTTCATCCTTTAAAACTTTTGTATTTTATACATTTGACAGGACTTATTTGTATTCCCTTCACAAATCACAAATGCATGTTTTACGTGGGAGGATCCACAAGCGGCAGTCGGATTCGTGAGAGAGTTTCCAAAGTGTCTCAGAATGTTCTGGAGGGTTTGCCAAGCTTCCTCCTGTGGGTCGCGGCACCTCGCTCGCCACATCTTCTGTTGCCGTGTGAATGCGGGACTAAACAAGCACATCTGTTGTGTCTTCTCCGGCTGATGAGAGATGTTCGTAGACCAGAAGAGGTCAGCGGAGATGTGGTTCTTCACCCTCTCTATCTCCTCTTCATCAGGGTGGAGTTCTCAGATCTCCTCAAGCTTCTGAACTCCATAATCCCAATCGTCCTCAAACCAGTCCAAAGATTTGTTCCTGTAGCTATAACATCTGTCCAGTGAGAGGAATAATGACGTTACTTTTGTTTTGTTTTAAGTAACGTCGATGCAAACTCTTCTTAGCTAGATGTGTTCTAACGCAACAGCCCAGGGGCCTCGTTCATCAAGCTAGCTTACGCACTAAACGGGGTCGGAAAACTGCATAAGCAACTTTCCACGCAAACTTTGGGATTAATGAAAGAAAAGGTAGCAGAAAAATGTGCGTAACTTTAAGTTGACTAAGGACCTGGCTTACACACATGTTGGACATGAGAGCACCTGCAGTGCTGCTGCTGAGAAGATACAATTATGAAATCCTGCAGCATTATCACTTGTACTGCTTCGTTTTCACACAGAACAAGACCCCCCACCCACCCGCACACACACACACACACACACACACACACACACACACACACACACACACACACACACACACACACGCACGCACACACATGCACATGCACGCACACACACACGCACGCACGCACGCACACACACACACACATACACGCACACACACACACACACACACATACACACAGGCACGCACACACACACACGCACACACACACACACACATGCGCACACACACACACACGCGCACGCACACACACACACACACATACACACAGGCACGCACACACACACATACACACAGGCATGCACACACACGCATGCACACACACACACACACACACAGCCTGAAGCCAGAATACAAAATGCAGAATATCAGCAGGGGGACAGATTGAGACAGAACGTCATGCGTCTGTGACGGTGTGTGTCCTGTCACTGTGACCCGATTGACCATGCGCCCTGGCTACTCGTCCAAAGAAGATCTCCATTTGGGTGACTGGTTAGCGTGTGTGACTTTAACCCGGGAGTCTGGGGATCGAATCCTGATCAGATCATTTTTTTTAGATCCGCCACAGATCTCTCTGAAGAACACAACATTGACGGCTTCAGCAACGCTGTGCCACTCCGGATTTTCTCTTATTTGTTTTGCAAAAGCACTTCCTTTCATTTCTCCACCTCACCCACAGGTACCTCACCTTCTGCTTGTGAAATAGCGCTTCCTTGATCTGCCTTGATCTACGGTCACCATCATTAATGGCGGAGCGCTGCAACAGCCGGCTTATGTATATGCATGAGATCCACAAGGCACTTTGCATTGACCATTTATGGCAGTAAGTGGGCGTGGAGAGGGCGGGATGGGATCCAGAATCACCTGAGAACATTTCTAGATAGTTTCTGATGTATGAAGCGGAGAATGCGTGCAGCTGTGCGTACTCCATGTTTGATAGATCACAAACCTGATTGGTGTAAGTATGGTTTTAGTAAAGATTCTACGCTATGTTTGATAAATCAGACCCCTGCTCCTGTTTGATTTAATCTTAATCTGAAGATTGAACAAAGAATAAAAATAAAATGTTTCATGATTTCCAGATTTAGTTTTGTCTCGTGGTTAATCTCTAAGGATTAGAAAATTAAATATATCAAACTCTCGGGCCAAAGCTGTGCTTGAAAAAATCTAATGAACCAGACAAGATCAGCTTTCAGCTCTGAGGTTCAAGCTTTGATGATTTCCTTCAATCAGAGACGACATCCCCCGTCTTCATCCAGACGTTTACACTGAATCCCAACCAGATTATCAGCCTGACGTTTGACTCCCCCTGGATTTCAGATCCAACCTAAACAGAAATGAGTAGAAAAGTCTTCATCGTTTTTCCTGATGTCTGCTTGAACCCTTTCCTTAAAGTTCACACATTTCTACGAACAGCAACTATCTGAGAAAACATCTTTGTACATTTTCAGTTTGTTGGACACCATTCTGCTTCTTCCATCACCGTGGCAACCTGCCTTCACAGCTGATGGGCGCCTGATGACCAGCAGTTATCTTGTCTCTGTTTTTATTTACACGCTTTGATAGAGTCCTGTTTAACTTTTGCACAGTGAGACGGGCGATTTAATCCCACTGGGATCCCTGCAGAAACTTTAAAGTCCAGTCGGAGCCAAAGTCTGTTTTTCTCTTCAGCTTTCAGACAAAAAAATACTTCAAACATCTGATGCAACTTGTCTTTCTTTGCAGGGTGTTGTTAATCTAGCGATGCGCCGTAAGAGAAGCAACTTTCTTCCACAAACTGTTTATAATAGAAACAAGCTGCTGTTGTTGTCGGGATTAGATGAAGTGAAGCTGGAGGAGCTTGTGGAGAATTAGGCGTCACGTGATTCCCGGTTTCAGGATGGAGTTAATGAACAATTCCTGAAAACCGGGCTGCATGTTCCCAATCCCCATTATCAGAGCGAATAGAGGTCCAAACACACGGCAGACAGCCGCGGGTGCACCACCGCTGCTAATCCCTGCAGATGGACGAGTGGAAGGAGAGAGGGAAGGATGCAGGAAAAAGGAAAGGAAACTAGGAGCAGCAAAGGTGGACAGAAAAGCTTCAGGGTCAGTTTGTTGTTTTTGATTCTCATTCCATAAATGTGGCTCTAGAGCTTAACCAGCATCGCCATGGAAACCTGCAGAACCTGAGGATGACCGGGGAAGCTGTGCAACAACGAGAAACTCATGAATGAAACTGTAGTTGGACTGCACATCAGAACTGAAGTTTTTTCCATTCACATGTTTTATTCTTGTTTTCTAATGTTGTTATTCGGACTTTTCCAGATTTAACTTTGAAGATGAAACACCAACGACAAACTTTGACACCTTTCCTGCGGCCATCCTGACGGTGTTCCAGGTAGAACGACATCTGCTTCTTATATTTTACACAAATGTGGGAGAACAAAAGAGGCCTTATCTTAATTTTTAATGATAGAGAAATGAGCAGGCCTGCAATTAACCCTCATTTAGTCTGTGCTCATCACTCGGTAACATAATCGAGTCAGTCTGTGCGATGAGGACCTGTTGTGTCCCTCAGCGTTAGGTCGACTCCTCTGTCTTTGTTCAGATTCTGACTGGTGAGGACTGGAACGCTGTGATGTACCACGGCATCGAGTCGCAGGGTGGAGTTCGACGTGGGATGTTCTCCTCCATCTACTTCATCGTTCTCACGCTGTTTGGAAACTGTATCCTCTCATGTCACCATTAACCTGCAGAGGTGGACAGCACATTCGTAGGGAAGAGAAAGTCCACCTTGGTTCTTGTCTAGGGTGATCGGTTTCTGAAAGGATTCAACTCCAAACTCGTGTAGAAAACCACAACAAAGGGGCAGGAGGTCTGGAGCCTACAGGCTTATGTTAACATCAGTGATGACCTCAGGGGAGCAACGGCTGCTGCCCATCAGTTTGGGGAGGGATTAAAGGTCATTTGAGTCCAGTTGAAAACATTTAAAAACAGCTGCTGAGCTTCCCAGGAGTAGATGTTCCAGCAGGTTCACCTCAAGGTCAAAGGTCAGTGGTCAGAGAAGTGATGCAAAAGGGCCTCCATTGGTCTCAAGACAGTCACAAGGTGTTTCTCATAAAACAAAAAAAAATTAATTAAAGATTAAAATGATTTCAAAAATGATTAAAATATATTTAAAAGGAGTAAAAATAAAAATTGTGATTACAAAAATGTAAGGAATGGGATGGATGGGTAAGGAATGGGAGAGAGAAAATTAAGAGGACAGAGGGAAATCGATGGATCCCGGAAAAGGCGGTATAAGAGCAGAATAAGGAGAGGGCGGTGACGAAGGTCACGTAAAAGTCAGTCTGAACAGGTGAGTCTTCAGCTGCTTTTTAAAGGAGACCACTGAGTCCACTGATCTCAGGCTCAGGAGGAGAGAGGTCCAGAGTCTGGGGGCCACAGCAGCAGATGATCTGTCACCTTTGACCTTTAGCCTGGTGCTGCACAACCAGTAGGCTGTGGTTGTTAACAGGTTAAAGGGTAAAGGTTGTAACAGGACATTTAGAGAAGAAGAAAAACAAGAATCTGTTGATTGGAAGAGGTGCAGAACACTTCTTCTCCTATTAGAGCTTAGACCTATAAAGTTACCCATAATGCAAAGCTGCACTTTTGGAATAACCCTAAATCAGCGTATCAGCACCAGCAGCTGCTGCCAGCTGTCAGCACGGTGGTGGAGGGCTAATGATGTGGGCTGGCTCTGTAGCCACAGGACGCACCGAGTCCAGCACGGACTCATCTGGGAATCGGAGTTCCTGATTGGGCCAGATTGGGTCATAAAACAAGACGATGACCCCAACCACAGCCGCTAATGTCTGACATCATCAGGGTCCAGTCAGAACCCTAACACACTGCTCCTTCAAGCTGTTGATGCTAAATATGGTTAAACATGGATTGTATGGATTTACCATAAAACCCATTATTCAGCTTCCTCAGAGCTGGTGGATCTTCTGGACCTGCTTTGTGAGGGACAGATTGAAAACATCATCACGTTTTCCATTCTGAACGTTGTTTCTTAGACACCCTCCTGAATGTCTTCTTGGCCATTGCTGTTGATAACCTTGCTAATGCCCAGGAGCTGACTAAGGTGGGTTTCATCTCTTTTCCAGTTTAATTTAAAGGAAGACCGTATTTCACTTAAATGTGATGCTTGGTAAACAAAATGTTCCAAAACACCTGCATAGGTTTGAAGATCGCCTTTCTGGGTCTCCAGGCCTTGCTTTGGTCCCACTGGACATTTGTGTGAAACGTGTATTTTGTATCTTTTTATTAAAGGATCCCTATAACAATTATGTAATGCATCACTCAACAGCGCCACCAGGTGGTGAGAGCACATTAAAGACATCAAAATACAAAGAAAGAACATTCCTAGAGTGGTGAAAGATTCTCCCGAACTAAAATTATCCTTGTATCCATTTTAGTTTAATGTTGTAAAGATGTGGATACGATTTGGTTTACACAAAAGTCTCAGTTCTTGTTATAAATGCTGTGGACTACAGATACAAACTCAGCAGAACAGTTATGGATTAAACACACCGCCCAGCAGAACTCCTCCAGGCTGGTGTTAAGCTTGGTTTATGCTTGACACATTTACTTTCCGCTTGGTGATGCGGCTCGGGATGGAACGCGCTTCACAACTCGCAGCGTTGATGGTTCATGCGGCTCGTCTCTGCGGTGAGCCAATATTCTCCCAAACTGTAGGGGCAGCATGGAGCTCTACGGCATGCATCCAACACTACACCATAGTAGAAGTAGAAATTACTGTTTACATCATGGCATTTCAGCATTTTTAACTGCGTCCTCGTCTTTTCCGACAGTGCGAGCTTTTTCTCTCCAAGAATTATTAACAACATGTTGATCACGGTGATCTCTGAGAGCTGAATCATACAAATGTCTGTATTTACCAACCTCTGCCATAGTAGTTCTTGCCAGTCCGCCATGTTTTTCCGCGTCTGACCGTCCGCGTGGTTAGAAAATTTCCTAGGTGCGCGGTGCGGAAAATTTGGGCCGTGCGGAGGCGCGGTGGAGGGGCGTGGCTGTTAAAATGACGCAATTTTGCCGCGCGGAGCCGTGCAGACCTCGTGGACGCGTCAAGCATAAACCAAGCTTTATTGGTGGAGATAAAACATCAACGTTGCAGAACAGACGGTCAGTGGTGGAGTCATGTTGCTGTTAGCCAATCAGAGGAGAGATGTCCAAATCCTGTCATGTTCTGCTCTCCTCTGGTCCGGCTCACTTTTTTTACACAGAGATTGACTCACAAGGCATTCACTTAAACCTGAGCTCTGCACGTGTTGAAAAAATGAGGGAACTTTCTGTTTGAATTGTTTTTCCTGGTGGTCTGGTTGCAGACGTGGGATATTTCCCTGCTGGAATCTTATCTTAGAAAGAGGATTTGATGTTCCAATTATTGTGATTCAGGATGAATGTCAAAAAGATAAATAAATAAATAAATCAAGATACATTCAGGTTATTTGTGAAACATACTTTTGTGCCAACGGGTTGTGAAGGTCTCACTGTGTTTGCAGAAAGTCTCCTCCGAACAAATCCTGCTTTATCACACCAAACAATTTATTAATTTTCTCCCAATTGTGATTGGCTGAAGGATGAAGAGGAGCAGGAGGAGGCAGCCAATAAGAAGCTGGCAATGCAGAAAGCTTTGGAGGTGAAAGAAGTCAGCCCGATGTCTGCCGCCAACATCTCCATTGCTGCGTAAGTTTCCATGAGTCCCGTACCGGCACGGCCCGGTTCTGTGGGCTTTCTCCTCCTTCGGGTCAGGAACCTGTTCTGTGCTTGGTTTGCGTCTTTCCTCTCCTCATTAGGAGTCTGCTTCGTAGTGTCGAGATGTACTTTTACACCCGACTATTGATCTTCCTCACAACTACAGGCAATTAAGGAAGCTTCTTTTTTCCTTTTCCTATTCTTTTGTAATTTTTGTCCTGCCCATACCACTGGAGCTCTTTCATATGCTTCAAAATCAGATTTAATTTAAAACTAATGGGTCCTTGTTATTTTAAAAAGCGTATTATTATTTTTTAATATGCAGCTTTGAGTTCTGCAGAGAAAGTTTCTGTATTGTTTTTTTGTTTCTGATTTTGGTTTAGCAACTGTTAATAAAAATACACTAAAATCATGTATAATAATAAGTGAAATGTTCAGTCGGTAGCTCAGAGGTGTTTTATGACAGCAGCTGTGAAACAATAACAGGCTAAACATTCAGTCATTTTCATTTTTCTGGATTTTCTTATTTATTGTGAACAAATGAATCACAATAATGATGAAAATCCAACCTGAAGACTCGTGGATCTTTGTAAATAAGGAACTTTCTTTCAACCGTAATCTCAAGCTGCACATTTCAGGTGATACTTTTTTGTCCATTCAAACTGAATCTGTCTGCGTGAAACAATGTTCATTCAGACTGTAGCCGCTGATCGGAGCTGTGGAAACTTCCCAAACCGGATTGTTGTTGTTGTTGTCTATTCTGAAATGTGATTTGTATGTTGTGTGAAGAAAAACTCTGGGTTTCTTTTCAAAATAACCATTTTAATTCTGGTGGTGGGAAAATGAACCATATGAAACAAAACCAGGAGCTATTTTATTAATTTGCCTAAATTTAGATATAATATAGTCTAATCTAAAGTAAAATTAAGCCACTAACGTAACAACTTAACTTGCAGATAATGTGCAGAAATGTTCCAGATCAAAATAAGAACCTTAGAATTAGGAATTTTTACATTTTAAAGGTGTTTCCAATGACATTTGGTGGTTTGTGTTAAAAACATCTCCATTTTCTGTTAAATAACTCTGTTCTTAGATTAATGACCAAGTAAACAGTTATTTACTTGTTAATTTTGACATATGATCGGTCACTCTCAGTTTCACATGCAGGCTGAATGTGAAAACAGTCTTCTACCCCTATTTCCTGCTTTAGCACAAAGAAAATAGACGGTAAAACTCTGGGATTGCAGTTGGATCTACATCACACTTCAAAACTAACATTCATGGCGTCACACATCCTGGCTTGTGACAGGGTTTAGGATCCAGGAAACAGCTGAGCAGCTAGTAGAAGCTACCTAACATTTAAATAGGTAAATTAATAACAATCATATCAATTAGAAACAGGATGATGATGATGATGATGATGATGATGATGATGATCTCACTGTTGATGTTTTCTGTAGAGAGGGAGTCAGGCGCTTTAGCAAGGATTTCCTGACATTATGACAAATAGTTCAACCATTTACTGCAGTTCTGAAATGTTTACAATACGCCAAACGTAAAGGTTTAGATCAGATTTACGCCAAACGTAAAGGTTTAGATCACATTTACACCAAACGTATAGGTGTAGATCACATTTACACCAAACATAAAGGTTTAGATCAGATTTACACCAAACGTAAAGGTTTAGATCAGATTTACACCAAACGTAAAGGTATAGATCAGATTTACGCCAAATGTAAAGGTTTAGATCAGATTTACACCAAATGTAAAGGTTTAGATCAGATTTACGCCAAACGTAAAGGTTTAGATCACATTTACACCAAACGTAAAGGTTTAGATCAGATTTACACCAAACGTAAAGGTTTAGATCACATTTACGCCAAACGTAAAGGTTTAGGTCAGATTTACACCAAACGTAAAGGTTTAGGTCAGAATTACACCAAACGTAAAGGTTTAGGTCAGATTTACACCAAACGTAAAGGTTTAGATCAGATTTACACCAAACGTAAAGGTGTAGATCAGATTTACACCAAACGTAAAGGTTTAGGTCAGATTTACACCAAACGTAAAGGTTTAGGTCAGATTTACACCAAACGTAAAGGTTTAGATCAGATTTACACCAAACGTAAAGGTTTAGGTCAGATTTACACCAAACGTAAAGGTTTAGGTCAGATTTACACCAAACGTAAAGGTTTAGGTCAGATTTACACCAAACGTAAAGGTGTAGATCAGATTTTCACCAAACGTAAAGGTTTAGGTCAGATTTACACCAAACGTAAAGGTTTAGATCAGATTTACACCAAACGTAAAGGTGTAGATCAGATTTACACCAAACGTAAAGGTTTAGATCACATTTACGCCAAACGTAAAGGTTTAGGTCAGATTTACGCCAAACGTAAAGGTGTAGATCAGATTTACACCAAACGTAAAGGTTTAGATCAGATTTACACCAAACGTAAAGGTATAGATCAGATTTACACCAAACGTAAAGGTTTAGATCAGATTTACACCAAACGTATAGGTTTAGATCAGATTTACACCAAACGTAAAGGTTTAGATCACATTTACACCAAACGTAAAGGTTTAGGTCAGATTTACACCAAACGTAAAGGTTTAGATCAGATTTTCACCAAACGTAAAGGTTTAGGTCAGATTTACACCAAACGTAAAGGTTTAGGTCAGATTTACACCAAACGTAAAGGTTTAGGTCAGATTTACACCAAACGTAAAGGTTTAGGTCAGATTTACACCAAACATAAAGGTGTAGATCAGATTTACACCAAACGTAAAGGTTTAGATCACATTTACACCAAACGTAAAGGTTTAGGTCAGATTTACACCAAACGTAAAGGTGTAGATCAGATTTACACAAGACATCTGTGGGTGTAAGAATTAATTTTTTCTAGTTTGTAGAATTTCCTCTTCTGTAAATTTGACACCTTTCAAGCTCAGTCTTGTCACCTGTTGTGGGTTAAACTGGTCCAGATGTTAACGCTGAGCAATAGAATGACTAAGTGAGGTTCATCACACTGGGTACCAGCATGTTGTAAGTCCTCCGTCACAAACCAGCTCAGTTAGGAGATTCCTCAGGGTCTGATTTTCTGCTTCAGTTGAACGCACCAACAAACACAACATTAGGATCTTCAGGTTTAGTGAGAAAATTAAACATCACGACCCAGAAAATGGTTCCAAGTCAGTTTTAATTCACGGTTTTTGGCTGTTAAAAAACAGCATAACGGCTGATGTTTAATCAGTACATCTGCGGTGGTCTCTAGTGGGAATGAATGCCTGTAGGTACTACTCGGGGCACAAAAAGCCCAGACACACCTGTTTCAGGATCTGGTAAATTTCCAGATCAGAGGAGAGCTTCAGACGACAGGATTTGGCTTCTTGCTTCCTGATATTTGTACATCTCACCTCTGATTGGCTAACAGCAGCATGACTCTACCACTGTCTGTTTGCTCTGCAACGCTGATATTTTATCTCCACAAACAAGCCTGGAGGAGTTCTGCTGTGTGGTGGATTTGCTCATGCTAATGTTAGCTTCTACTAGCTGAGACGTTCTCTGCTGTTTCCTGGACGCTAAACCAGCAACAGCTTCCCTCTTATGAGTCCAGATGGGTGAGTCCATGAATGTTAGTGACAGGGTGACGTAGATCTGTCAGGATTTTCTAATCCTAGAGTTTCACCGTCTGTTTTCTATCAGAAGCTACTGCAGGAGACAGGTGTAGGAGACTATTTTCATGTTCAGCCTGCATGTTAAAATCAAAGTGACTGATTATAATCAGACATAATCATTAAAAATAGGTTTTCAGTAAACCACACCTTTAACGACAAAGTAAAAGGTAAGATTTCAAATGTCTGAGGTTCAGTGAATGCAGCAGTGTTTTCAGTAGAGTTGTTATGGATACAGGTAAGAAGGCAGGATATTTCTTCTCTCAATGCTAAAATGAACCTCTAAAATGGACCCACATAAAGGCATGCATTTGGGTCTTTCGGTTTTCTGTACTATTGAAATGTTTTCTTTTTTTCCCATTTTGGAATGAAACTCCTGAACGGTTTAATTATGTGTGATGAAGGTGTTCCTCCTCACAGAGGTCCTCTGTGGGTTGTTGGTGGATACGCTGTCCCTTTCACTTTTATGCCTCATTTTTTCTTTTGTTCTGCACGTACAGTTTTGTAAAGCAAAATCGAGATGCACTGTCGTCTCGCAGGTCGTCCGTCATCAGCATTCAGTCACCGTGAGTTATCTCTCTCTCTGTGTTTCCTCTCCTCTCTGCTTCCTTCCTTTTGTCATCTCTAATCCCTACTCTTCTCCCTTTCCTACCTCGTCTTCTAGTTTTCTTCCAGATAAATAATCAGTAGTCCTGCACTTCTCTGCTAGCGGAGTGAAGCACGCTTGTGCCTGACGGAGCGTTAAAAAAATCACAATTAAATGCTGATAGCAGTAAACAGTGCTGCCTCCTTCCAGCCTTTAACCGTCGTCTTCCTTGTTGATTCAGCTCATCAGTGCCTCCAGTAATTCTGCTTTCTGCCCTCTCATGTCAGTAATTTGTTGATAAAAGCTTAATTTCTCCGAATGTTGCTGTCAGCGTAGGTAGTCTGACATTTCCAGTCCTGCTTGTTGTCGTAGACCTCTGGGAGGTCACGCTAAACTCTCCTACCGTCTCCGCTGGTCACAGAGGAGAGAAGAAGGCTGATAATTGAGTTGGACGTGTTTAAGGAAACAAGTTGTTTTGCTTCTTATCCTCACAAACCAACACCTTTCCTCTGAGTTTCACATCCTTCTTTTGTCATTTTACTGCAAGCATGAAAACCCTTCCTGTGTGTGTGGTTACCTGTCCTGTGTCCTCTGTCTTTTCTGTCTCTGTGTGTCTTTTAGGAGTTATACTGTCTACTGCTCCCCAACACGCCAGCTCTTTAAACACAGGTGAACAAAAGAGAATCATCGTCTCACAAGTTACCATCTAAATGAGCCATACTGTCCACCTGCAGGGTGTGGTTCCCGCCCACATGAAAAAAACACAAACTTAATAAATGTTTGTTTGTTTTTTTTACTTTTGTGCAAAAAATAAAAAAAGGAGAAAAAATCACATTTCTTTCATCAAACTAATTTCTATGCATCTTCTGGTCTGGATTCAGCCGGCTGGAACAGACGCTGCGTGTGAATATAATCCTAAATCATGTTTTCTTTGTCGCCTTCATTTACACACAAAATAAAATCATCCTGAATTTCGTGAAAAGCGTTGCTAACTTTGTGTTTATGATGTTTTTGTCATTAGCTGTGCTGGCACTAGGAGCAGGGGCGCAGATAGGATTTTCAAACTGGGGGGGGACAAAGTTCCAATGTACCCTCGCCCAAACCCACACACACACACACACACACACACACACACACACACACATGCCGAGATGGGGAAGGACACACACACACACACACACACAAACTATTGCAAGAGCCTTAACTAGAGCTCAGTCAGTTCGTGTAATTTCATCCAACGGTTTACGTAAAAACTAACTTTTATAAACGTGTCTGAAGCTGTTATGCAGCAAAGCTCTGCCTGATCAACACCATAAATGATAAATGATCCTCACTTGTGTAGCACCTCTCAGAGTAAGGACTCCAAAGTGTTTTACACTTTTACACTTTTAGGGGCGACGGTGGCACAGGAGTTAAGTGCTCGCCTTGCAATCGGAAGGTTGCAGGTTCGAGCCCCGCTCAGTCTGTCGCTGTCGTTGTGTCTTTGGGCAAGACACTTAACCCACGTTGAATGTGTGTGTGAATGGGTGAATGACTGATTGTGTTGTAAAGCACCTTGGGGGGTTCCAGGACTCTAGAAGTTGCTATATCAAATACAAGCCATTTACCATTTTTACTACAGTGTATCATTCACACACACATTCACACACTGATGGTGATGTGCTACGATGTAGCCACAGCTGCACTGGGGCGCACTGACAGAGGCGCCCCACTATTTAATTCAGTCATTTGTCATTCTCCCAATCAATTACTAACCAAAACCTCACGCTTTATGCAAAACATTACATGATTTTCAGCATACCGATCTTTACAGAAAACATAAAAGCTCTAAAAAACTGCACATAAAATATAATAAGAAACGATATTTACTTATCACTTAGAGCACTGGTTCCCAAACTTTTCAGCCTGACCAGCAGATGTTCCTTTGTATTTTTACGTTATTTAGAAATTTTCATTTTATTTGGAAAGTTTTTATTTATATATAAATATATAAATCTCTTTTTTAAATTTATATTTTACTTTTTTTATGATTATGTGGCACACTTGACTTCCATACATAACGCATCGGCATCTGCCTGTTTTTAAGGGTTATTCTTTTACATTGTCGCTACGTCTGTCACGTTAGCGGTGTTTTACCATCGTTTCTACATCCATCACGTCCCAGAGAAGGTTAAACCAACATCAAACCCAACGTTTGGAGCTCGTAAACCCCACACACCTCTCCTGCAGCACCAGCTGTCTGATGCTGCAGCAGCGTCCATCTTCCAGGCTGGATGAGTGAATTTCTTCATCAGAGTCAATATTCTGCTTCATAATCAGAGTCAGTCAAGACCAGACCTGCCGGCAATTATATGTTTTATCTCATATTTGCGCTCTTCATGCTGCACGCATCTCCTCCTCTCCCCGACTGGGAGCCTCTCGGCGGGAGGTGTTTTTCAAACTCTAAAAACTCCCAAACTTTGCTCAGCCTGAAGGTTCCACATTTCCACTATCTTCTGGTGTAAAGTAGTAACTTCATGAGGGATCATATTTGTAGCTGAGACTTGTTAAAGTCAGCAATGAGGCTTTGGCGCTTATAACGAGTAAGTCCCAACACTGACAACAACGTACTGAAACTAGAACCAACACGCATAAACAGACAGATCGGTCCCGCCTACTTACACTGTCGGTCTTTTTTAAATACGCAGTAATCGTTGCTCATCCTGCGTCCTAGCAGCAACCACTTTGGCGCCTCTGGAGTCGGTGTTTGTTTACGTCATGCTGCATTCAATGTAATTAGAAAAAGGAGCTTCAAGCGCTTAACCGCCGAATGGCCTTAGTGCGGGGGACGGATCGGGGTCGACCTGAATCTGGGGGTGGACAGATGCCCCCCGCCCCCCACCCTATCTGCACGCCTGACTAGGAGGTGGCAGGGACATCACAAGGCTTGACCCTCTCAGCCGTTGTGCCTCCATACAAAATTGGACTTTTCAGGATTTTGCTAAGACGTTAGCATAGCATAGCCATTTAAGCAATTTAAGCAGTGGGTGACATCACACAAAGGTTTTCACCTGTCAGTGTACATCGTAATTTCATCCATTCAGGGATGGGGAGGGAGACTGTGTGATGTAAAAAGTGTCATTCAATGACCAGAAGGGGTTTATTACAGCAGGGGGCCACAAATCAGCAGGATTTACGGCATTGGGGGGGGGGGGGGGGGGGGGGGGGGGGGGTCCTGATGCTTTTTTAGAGTGGGATGTTCACGAAAAATTTTAAAGCAGCACCAATTATTTTCTACTCCTTTAATTCCGCTTCACCAGCAACTCTTCCAATTTTACCAATGATGGTTGTTTGATGACGTCTGCCATTTCCCACTGAGTTACAACCAATCAGCATGAGTTAAGCACAAGACCCGCCCAGTGACTAACGAGCCATTTCTGAGTATGTACCCCAATACAGGTCCTCGTCGGTCTGTGACATCGCCTGTAAAAATGTTACTTTTGGGCCAGTCCCATTAAATGGAGACACGCCACAAAAGTCCAGTAAAGTGACCCGGACGTTCCAACCCTAACCCTCAGGAACCCTAAAACCATTTGCCTTCAGCTGCTAATGTAGAACCTAGATCTACTATTGACAAATTTTTAGCTTTTACAACATTTTCCACTGAAAATGTTCTTTTGTTTCATGACCTCTGAGACCCCAGTGAGGTCCAACCTGCAACCAAGGCCCTGTCAACATTCTAAGATGATTATAGTAAATTGTTAAAAGGCCTGTGATATGTGATATAGCTCCTTCTAGATTCCTGGAGCCCCCCAAGGCACTTTGCAAAACAATCAGTCCATTCACACAATTCACACCCTGGCGGTGATGAGCTACGACGTAACCACAGCTGCCCCGGGCTCACTGGCAGAGGCGAGGCTGCCGTACACAGGCACCACCGGTCCCTCCGACCACCACCAGCAGGCAACGTGGGTTAAGTGTCTTGCCCAAGGACACAACGACAGCGACAGTCTGAGCGGGGCTCGAACCTGCAACCTTCCGATTACGGGGCGAGCACTTAACTCCTGTGCCACCGTCGACGTTTGACCCGATTCTCACCTTTCAACAATCTTGAGGACGCACCTGAATACCGTGACGGCTTCGGAGCTAAAGATCGTTTTCTGAGACGTCCTTGCCGTGCGCGATGTCGTACGAACGCTCTGACCTGCTCAGAAGCACGTTGGGACCACGAGACATGTTGGACTGTCTTGTCCCACGTCTGGCACCAAACGCGCACGCTGCATGTTGAAGGTGAGGTCGCAGAAGCTGGTTTTCCCGTGTGACCCGTAGGTGCAGTTTTAGCTGTGTTGCTGCACACCACACACAGAAGGACCAAAACAGTTAAATCCATGACTTTTTTATTGCGTGGGGTCTCTCATGCTTTGAAATTGTCTGACGAAGTCAAATCCTGCTGTGTGAACCGGGTCTTCACCGGCAGGGTTATAGGTACTTGAAGTCCTTGAAGGTTCTAGAACCCTGATGTGATCTTCTTGACGTGACGATGATTCATTTTGGGCCCTTAAGTGCTTTTCATGTAGAGAAAACTCGCCCTGAAAGGGCTTGAAGTTGAAATCTTGAGAGCGTGTTTGTGTGTCTCATCATAGTTGGACAGTTTTTCAACAAACGTTATGCATTGTCACCCCTAGACTTTATTGTTCTTAACACCCCAAAGTAAAAGAGCTGATTTCCTTGATTTTTTAATTGATTTGCACACTTGACTCTAATTGTGCTCCGTAGATTAGAAGATGGCATTGCACCTCTCTGCGTTACACACATTTAACCATCTCACAAACTCCTGCATGGTCTGTGAAAACTCTACCATAGGAAACATCCATAGACCTAACCCTGGCTCTATTGTTAATCCCAGTCTTCAGCAGCTATGGATGGAAGTTCATTCCAAACCCCAACAAGACCCATAAATCAGATTAATGACCAGATTTCCTCCATCGTTTTTACAACCGCATGGTCTTTGTTCTGGTGTTTGCAGTAAGGAGCAGCAGCGGTCTGCCAAGTCCATGTCGGTGTGGGAGCAGAGGACCAACCAGCTGAGGAGACACAACCTGAAGACGAGTAACGAGGCCTTGTTCAACGAGCTGGACCCCGAGGAGCGCCTTAGGATGTCCTCCGCCCTCCATCTGCATCCTGACATGAAAACTCACACGGACCGGCCCCTGGTGGTGGAGGCCACGAACGGTGACAAAACCAGCAGCGGGGGTCAGGAGGAAGCGGGAGGAGGGCTCCGACAAGACGGGCTGGGGGACAGCTTCCACAGCCACTCCAGGAGACATCACCGCCATCGCGACAGGAACGGAGAGGGAGGCGACGGGCGGGGAGGGAGGCACCATGCTCATCATAGAAACAGGGAGCACAACCCAGACAGTTCCCAAACTAAAGAGAGGAGAGGGAGCCACGATGGAGGACACCGGCACCGCCACCGAGCTGGATCTCCTCAGAAGGTCGGTGATGCACAGGAAGGAGAAGGGGATGAAAGAAGCCATCGCCACCATCACTCTCACCGGCTAAATGAAGGGAACGGACGTTTAGCAAACGGCGAGCAGGAAGACAGTCGAGGAAGAGGAGAAAATAACGAAGAGAAAGGTCTCCGCTCTCGTTCGGCTAAAGCTCAGTCTTCTCTGATTGGAGACGAGTGTAAGCAGAACAGACGTTACAGGTGAGACCATAAAAGTCAAACTCAGCCTGTTCATTTTTGATAGAGCTGCTTGTGATGCTGTAACCCTCCTCCCTCAGAGACAGGCAGGCACACACGGAGGAGGACAGCCTCACTGGGAGTCCGCCACAGCCCAAGCGGAGCAGCTTGACTCCCAGTGAGAAGCAGGAGGATGCCGACAACCAGAAAAACTCCACCAGAGCCAGCCAGGCCGGTCTGAACAGCAACACCATCCGCATCCCGGTCACCGTCACGGCTCCACCTGGAGACACCATCATCATTCCCAGTGAGAGCTAAAGGTTTCTCTCTGTAAGGGTGCTGTCAGAGCTCAGGGCCAAAGATTTTATAAGAAACGTATCCAAGGGGCAGAGGCGGGCAGATGAGTAGATCTGAGGAAACCAGGGACTGTAAATGCTGACAGGTGAGAGAGAGAACAGGTGAGTGCATGAACTGGTGTGAGAGGCTGAATCAGACCCAGAAGAGCTGAGGATGAACACTAGGTGGTGAGGGCCAATTTTATGTCTTTAAATCTAATATTATACATTTGTGCGTACGGGCTGTTCGGTCCGTTACGACCGGTGTCAGAGCTTGGTCCGTGTTGCCGGCAGTAAGTCGAGCTTGTTTCCGGTGAGAGTTGGACTCCGCCAAGGCTGCCCTTCGTCACCGGTTCTGTTCATAACCTTTATGAGCAGGATTTATACACACACACACACACACACACACACACACACACACACACACACACACACACACACACACACACACATGCACACACACACACACACGCACGCACGCGCGCACACGCACACACACACTGGCCACTTTATTGGGTATACCTTGCTAGTACCGGGTCGGACCACCTTTTGCCTTCAGAGCTGCCTTACTCCTTCGTGGCAAAGATTCAACACGATACTGGAGACATTCCTCAGAGACGTTGGTCCACGTTGACATGACAGCATCACGCAGCTGCTGCAGATTTGTCGGCTGCACATCCATGATGAGACTCTCCCGTTCCACCACATCCCAAAGCTGCTCTGTTGGACTGAGATCTGGTGGCTGTGGAGGCCGTCTGAGTACAGTGAGCTCGTGGTTCAAGAAGCCAGTCTGAGATGACTGGAGCTTTATGACCTGGTGCATTATCCTGCTGCAGTAGCATCAGAAGATGGGTGCACTGTGCTCATAAAGGGATGGACATGGTCAGCAACAACACTCAGGCGTTGCCACGGTGATGAGTTAGCACTAAGGGGCCCAAAGCGTGTGACGAAAATGTCCCCCACACCATTACACCACCGCCGCCAGCCTGAAACGTTGATGCAAGGCAGGATGGATCCATGCTTTCATGTTGTTGATGCCAAATTCTGACCCTACCATCCAAGTGTCGCAGCAGAAATGGAGAGCCGTCAGAGCAGACAGCATGTGTCCATGTTTGGTGAGTGTGTGAATTGTAGCCTCGGCTTCCTGTTCTTGGCTGACATGAGTGGCACCTGGTGTGGTCTTCTGCTGCTGTAGCCCATCCGCCTCAAGGTTCCACGTGTTGTGGGCTCAGAGACGCTCTTCTGCATACTTTGGTTGTAACGAGCGGTCATTTGAGTTACTGTTGCCTTTCCATCAGCTCGAACCAGTCTGGTCCTCTGGCCTCTGGCATCAGCAAGGCATCTTCACCTACAGGACTGCTTTTTCAGACCATTCTCTGTAAATCCTAGAGATGGTTGTGTGTGACAATCCCAGAAGATCAGCAGGTTCTGAAATACTAAAAACAACCATGCCACGTTCCAACGTCACCTAAATCACCCTTCTTCCCCGTTCTGAAGCTCGTTTAGAACCGCAGCACATCCTCTTGACGAGGTCAACACGCCTAAATGCACCAAGTTTCCTCATGTTGATAATTTTTATTGTTTTTTTCTTCTTTTGGATGTTAAATGGTTAATCTGCTTTTAAATTATTTTGTTAGAATAAAACACACACACACACACACACACACACACACACACACACACACACTAGAGTTTGGTGAATTCATATGATATAAAAAAGGTTTGTTCTCAGATTATTTTCATAAACTAATTTAAGCACCAGAAGATGAATCCGTCTGCTTTTATTTCTAATCTGCAGAAAACTTTTTCCTTTTACTAAAGTGAATGAGTTTTATTTATGTAATTATTTATTTTTGCATCGCTCCAGTGAACAACATCGATCGTGACAACTTCCAACTCAGTGAGGAGAAGAAGGACCTGGAAGAGGAGGAGGAGGCAGCTAACGGGCCTCGGCAGATCCTCCCGTACAGCTCCATGTTTGTTTTTGGACAAACGAACCCGTAAGTCCTGCGCTGGAAGTCGCCGCTGTAATCCCAAAACTCTCTTTTATAACAAGCCACATCCCTCTGATTACTGTAAATACCCTATCAATCCAAGTTTAACAAAACTGTTTGGAGTTCTTTGTCACTTTCTTTAGGAAAACTTAAATATCTGCATGATAAATAACATAAATACATTTAATCTGACATTCCCTGACCCTCAGATGAGCCCTTTGTTGAAAGGTGTAACGGTGTCCACATGGCAGGTCTCCACATGCGGTGGTGGTCCTACGGCGTGTGGTTAGCAGGCACACGGCAACAATGACACACAAATAAATTTCACACACAAACTTTCACTCATCAAACAGGAAATCTTGTGAAACCTCCAGAAATAGAACGCCACCTTGGAGTAAAAAACATGGCGGAAGAGGCCCGTGCAGCGTGCTTCTGTCACCCCGCTTTCTGACTGGCTACACATTCAACATGCAGCAAACTTGTTTGTCCTTGAAAGTGGTCCAAGACAGCCAACGCGTTTAATGTCCCAGATTTCCAATCAGAGCTGGCGTGCTTCTGAGCAGACCAGAGCACTCTTAACACACCTTACATGGCAGGATTATCTGATAAGATTATCTTTGGAGACATTAACCAGGCGTGTCCTTCAGATCATCAGAAAGCTAGAATCAGGTCAAGAATCAGCACGATTATTATGTCGTGTGAAATGGGCCTTAACTCATTCGCTGCCAG